ATGTGGTATTTCTTTTTCTCTGCCTGACTCGTTTCACTCAATATTATTCTCTCAAGGTCCATCCATGTTGTTGCAAATGGCAGTATTTCATTCGTTTTTATAGCTGAGTAGTATTCCATTGTGTAGATATACCACATTTTCCATATCCACTCATCTGATGATGGACATTTGGGCTGATTCCAGCTCTTGGCTATTGTGAAGAGTGCTGCAATGAACATTGGGGAACAGGTATTGGTAGAGTAGTTATATAATTTTAATTCATTTTATTACCAAGGAAAACATTTTGATTGTGGTTTTATGTATAAAATAATACAGCTGGATATTTATACTGGGGCTCAAACCTTAAGCTTTCTTGACTTCATTTATTTAAAATTTATTTGTGTTAGATATTTTTAAAAAAAATTTTTTAAGTATTTCAAAATTATTCTAGAGAGAGAATTTGAGAGAATATTTTTATGTATTTGAGTAGATATGTATATACGTGAAATAAATTGTTCTGATTTATAAATGGATATTTGTTTATGAATGGATATTCATTCTTTAAAGCACCAACTAATGTGTCTGGCACATGTAAGTAGTGACTTAATAAATGACATTACCTGTAGTATATAACATGAAGTACAAATCGTATGTTTGAACTAATCTTCACCAACTATGAAACATATTGTATTCCCTATACCACAGGAAGGAGGCTAGGCTTCATAGGGGAGTGAACAAGATATTGATAGTACAAAGCATAACTACATTTCACACCAATTAGCTCTATTGGTTTTACTACAAAGAACTAAATATCCTGGATCAATTAAAATGATGTTGAGGTTTGTCTATTTGTATCCCAATCAATTAATCTATTCAGAAATTCATGTTCCTGAATCTCATCTTAGGCTGAAATGAAAGAGAAAGCTTTGCATTGGATGGAGTTCTTCATGGATAACCTGGATCTTTAAAACAGGACTCAATAATCTGCCCCTCATCCGAAATCATAAGCAATCCATTAATATGCAGAAATTCTGAATGAAACCAAATATGGGGATTTTACATCACTATATTATTGTGCCTTGAATAATTTGAATGAAAACCTACACAGTCAAAGTTCAAATGAGTATTGGACAAAAACCTCATAGTTTGAAAATGTCATTCAATTTGAGGAGTACAAATTTGGTTTAAACCTTTTAAAATATTAATTTTTAGTCACAAATAAAAAATGATAAGTCCATATAAAACTAATATGCTCTGTGATAAATAAGTGTTAGCATATGTATCTGTGCTCATTTGAAGCCAGTGTTTACTAGTAGTATCTGTGCTGAGCTGGGACTAGGCTGTAGAACCTGTTGGTAGTAATGCAGAATGCTGGAGTGCCAGAAGAAAAGCAAGGTTGAACTGGTTCCTGTATGTGCCTGGATTCACTTCTCCTAAGACAGTAAAAACCTGCCAGGTCCTGGCTTTCAAAGATGGTTTAGTCATGCATGTGCACCCCATCTGTTGGATGCATAAGGGATTTCCTTCTCAGCTCAGCCTTCCAGCCACACACACACACAGCCACTGCCTGCCCCCCACCCCCCCTTCTTTAATTCTTCTTCTCCTGCTGGGAGTGTACAGACTGTGTAAACCAGGTGCAGCTTATGCCACTCCAGGGAAATCCTTCCATAGACAGTGAGGTGAGCCAGAAATGTAGCCAGTTTTTCTCTTTCTACCTAGCTCAATTTCAGTATAGGTTGATTCAGTGATTAAAAACAACAACATTTAATTTGATAATAAACAATAAATACACCATTACAGTTCTAATCAAAACTTTAATGTAGACTTCAATGATCTTTAACTTCTCTGTCTGTGAATTCTCTCTGAAGCTCCCTGTGTTACCTAGGTGAACCTTAGCAGGGGCTTCATATTTCTCTCTCTCTCAGTTCCTAAGGTTTAGCAGCATACATTTTAGCCTCCTTGGTTACAGAGAGAGAAAACAGTAGGAAATCTCCCTCAATACATTCTCTATTCCATAACTCTTCCTTCACCCTTTGTTCAATGCACATATCCTCCACGTTTTGCGTCCCATGCTCCAGTTCTATTTTCTAGGGTGGCCTCCCTTTTTCTTGAAATGCTTATTACAATTAATACCAAGTTTTGAGATTGGGGGGTGGGGTATAGTTTCAAATCTCAAAATTACACACACAAACCATTGTGGTACAAGATGTTTTACAGCCTGTTATGTTTTACATAACCTCTTATTTTAGAAAGCTGGTGGTCTTATATTTATATATACATTTTTTCCTAACACACCAAAACACCAAAAAGATCAAGATGAAGAAAGAAATGGGTGGGTCTTTCTAATAAGTTGTTTGTAGTTTTAAATGTGTTCTAATAGGGACTTAGGAGACAAATAACCAATTATTATTCTTACTTATTTTATTTTTTTTCCACATAGATTTATGAGAAATACCAAGATTTGTATACTGTGGAACCGAATAATGCACGCCAGCTGGTGGAAATTGCAGCCAGGGATATTGAGAAACTTCTAAGCAACAGATCTAAAGCCCTGGTGGTGAGTTTAAATTGGATCTGCTCATTTAATTATTCTTCCATTACTTACCTATGACTCATTTTTCATGCTTTATTTGGAGATTTTCTTTGGTATACTTTCTTTACCTTGGTAAAACTGTGTTTATCTAATGTGTTCATAAAAGGTGAGATATCGTGGTTTCATTGTGAACTCAAAATAATAAGTTAGCATATTTCTAATTATTAGTTATTTTCATATTACTATTATATTTTTATAACATAGAGGAATAGTATATCTGATTGAGATGTATGTGTAATAATACATATGTAAGTCATGATGCATAATAATAAGGTGCTCATGTTTAAATGTATCATACAGCTAAAACCCACGAATATTACCAGCACCCTTAGCATGTAGTACTCTCCTATCCCATCGTGCTGATTCCCTGCCAGAGGTAGCCAGTATGCTAGATATTTGATTAATCATTTTTTTTTTGCTTTTTAAAAATAGTTGTAACTCACATAAATGCTTTGCTAATCAAGATATTTTTTAGTTTGCTAATTTTCAGCTGTATTAAAATCATTTTATACTGTATGTAGTCTTCAGCAACTTGCTTTTCCCAATCAACATTATGTTTGCATAATTCATCCATATGTTTGCATTTGGCTTTAATTCATTTTATTCACAGTTAAATATTATTTTATGAGGAAATATCTCAATTTATTTATTGATTCTCTGTTGGCAAGTTATTATTTGGGTTGTTTCCAGATGGATGCTACTTTGAATAGTGCTGCTAAATTTTCTTGAACAAGTTTCCTGCTGCACATGTGCAAGAATATCTGTGGGGTCAATACAGAATAGTAGAATTTCTAGATTTCAGGGTAGTCATAAAGTTAGCTCTATAAAAGTAGGACAATTATTTCCAAAATAGTTGTATCAATTCAGACCTCCACTGCAATATGTAAGAGTCCCTATTGATCACATTCTAGCCAACACATAGGAGGAGTGTCAGACTAATTAAATTACAGGCAATCAAATAGGTGGACAATGGTATCTCTGTTTATTACTAATGAGGAAGATATCTTGTTATATATGTATCCACATTGTTGTGTCCTATTCAATGAAACGTCTGTTCATATCTTTTGCAATTTTTATTTTTTAATTGATTTGTAGGTTATGTATTCTTGATGGTAATTCATTTTAGTTATATATGATGCAAATATCTTTTTCCAGTTGTGGCTCCATTGTCTTTATCATGTATTTTGATGAGATATGTTCTTAATTTTAATGTGGTCAGTCAACTTTTCTCTTAGTAGTAGTATTTTGGGGTATTTTGTTTTGGGGTGTATCTGTTTACACATAATTTTTAAATATATTTTATATTAAATCATTCTAAGTTTTGTCTGTTATGTGTAAGTATTTAATCCATTTGCAACTGATAATATATAATTTTAGACTACAATTCAAATTAATATTTTTTTCAATCAATTTTCTCAGGGCTTTTATTAAATAGTTTGCCTTCCCCCAGTGAGCTCAGATTATCAAGCTGGGTATCTGGTAGGCCAAGACCCGCACCATATTCTTCTTTAGAAGGATCTGGAGCATTCTTGAACCTTCACCTTTTATCTAAATTTTAGATTCAGCATGTAATTATCCAGGAAAATCTCTGCTGGGATTTTGATTGGTATTATATTGACTTAGACCAATTTGGGAAGAACTGGTATCTTTATTTCATTTTATCTTTCTATTTATAAACAAAATATTCTTTCCATTTTGGCAAGTTTTTATACCATTCAATAAAGTTTTAAAATTTCTTCATAAAGTTGTTACACATCTGTTGTTAGATATAATGCTGGAGCTTAAGTTTAGCTCTTCTTATTCTATAAATCTTAGCACTGTTATGGGTATTTGTCACAAGACAACTCTGAATTTCCTGTTTACTTATCACTCACAGTTCAGATTTTTAGCTTACTATATTTTGTATATATCTTGGCCCTCAGAAATTTTCTTTTTTTTTCTTAGGCACTTATGAATTTTATTATTAGGTTTCATAAAGTATCCAAGATCTTCTTATTATGTAGCACAAACATCCACTGGAATATTTGGCATGCCATATTGCTAGAAATTAAAACATTTAATTTTTAAAAAATGTATTACTGAGTAATCCATGGTAAGATAAACTTTCATTACTGGAAAATTTAAAGCATTATTATCTTCAATTCTGAGGCTGTGAATACCATTTTTAAACACATAGAAATGTAAATGTTTGCAATAAAAATATATCCAATAAAAATAGGGAACTTTCTACTTAACTGATTAATATTCTTTTGACAGCTGAAAATGATTCTCCTTATATTAATTTAATCAGCTTACATTTTTCCTCCAGATGTAGGAACAGGTAATCTGGGTATCAAAGTCCCTTGAAAAAGGTTGTAGAATGAAATAGTATGTATCTTGCCTTAATTGGATTAAAATGGGAGCCTACTGAGACTTTCTTATTTGTCACTTGAAATTGAAGCTCAAGACACCTGGTGTATTATTTGAGCTCTGTAGGGAATCAGTGACTGTCTTAAGTGCATTATGACAGAATACAGAAGACACAATGGCTAATTAAATGTAAAATTAGTCAGATTTTATGTCAGAGAAGAAGATTCATGTTTGTTTTCCAACTAAATCCTTTATTTAACTTCTTTAGTTTGATGCTTTAGTTTGATTTCACAGAAATAGAAAACATATTATTTAGAAGAGAAATATTTTGAGGCTAATTGAAAAGCAGGTGCTACATTGTACTGTAAATGAATGCAAGAAGGCACTGTGAATTTACTTCTATTTTTGTTGCAGGCTTATACTCAGGGAGACGTCTGGATTAAAAAGGAGCTTTAATTTATCTGGGTGGGATACCAATGTAATTCTATACATAAATTTAGTGGAAAAAATTATGAATCTACAAATCTGAGGTAGATGCTAAAATTTAATATTGGTTATACTATGTGGAGTTCTTACTAAGTTGCATTGTCTAATTATTTCTCACAATAATACCATGGCCTAGACACCATTCCTAGTCTCATTTTCAATTAGGAAACTGGGTCTTTGAAGGTTCCTGAAACGAAGGGAAATGTATCCATTAAATAATGTATGCCAGTGCTTCTCAAACTTTGATGTGCATGCAGATCACCTGTGATTCCTGTTAAAATGCAGATTTTTATTCAGTAGGTCAGGCCAGGGATACTACATTTCTAATAAGCTCCCAGGTGATGCTGATGCTCCTGGTACAAAGACCATACCTTGAGCAGCAAGAATGTGAGAGGATTCAAATTCAGGTGTGTCTGATTTCAAGATCTGCATTCTTACTTATTACTCAAATATATCCTTTGTCTTGAAGAAGTGTATAATCATAACAAGGATGAAATGATGGCTGGGTAGTGTTCTCTAAACTGCTGTTCATACAGACTGATTAAGAATTGGATGTTCCAGTTAATAGTATATTCTGGATAGCTATGAATTTTTCAGTGAATTCGATATCAATTAACCATTATCAAAAGATAGGATTCAATTACTACAAATTTTCATTTTTATTCTTGAGTTTGAACATTTTAAAAACTTTTATTATTCTTCAGTATCAAGGTTATTGATGTAAGATACCTTTGAAAATGTAGATGTAAAATTTGTGAAAGAAAAGTGAATTGAACTGTTTGTTTTCTTATATGTTTACTAAAGAAATTATCTAGCAAGTTATATTTGATAATTCAGTTTTTATTAAAAAACAAAATGAACAACTTGGGTTTTTTTTAAGTAGAAATATTGCTTTTCAATATCTATAATAAATGTTATTGCACATGCATATGCCCACATATTATGTACTTGAACATTAAATTTTTAGTTCTATTTTTTATAGCCTGATGATTAAAACCTCAGATATAACTTGTTTTATTGCTGGATGCTTTAGTTTGTATTTGTTTATATGTTTGACTTTACTTCCTTCAATATTTTTTTCAGTTTTAGCATTTCTTTTTACCTTTTATTCACACTTATTTTGCGTGATGGTCTTTTGATCTGTTCCATCAACCAGCCTTAAAACTAAAAGAGATATCAATACAAAAAAATTTTAGTTGTTTTTGCCCTAAAGCCATGTGTTTGATAGCAAAACAGACTTTTGCACTTTTAAATAGCTGTGGTTTGACTTTTTGCGGGGAAGGGCTATATAAAATCATGCTATAATTCTGATGATTCATATGCTTTAGGCCTTTACAGAAACCTTATGAATATTTTATAAATGGAAACTCAGAGGACTCAGTTTCTTGTCTAAGATTGTATAGATAACTTTTAGAACTTCTGTCTACGAATCCAGTTTTTTTTTCCCTCTCTAAGCCCACACTAATAATTTCAGCTGTTCTTTTTCCAGCATGCATCTGCTGAATGACTATTTTTCTGACATTTGCTCTATCTATCTCATAGGAACTGGCTCAATATGATTGTCCTGCTAACATTGTTGGATTATTCTTAAACAATTTCAAATCAAATGATGTTTAGAAGCAAAAAAGAAACAATCATTTAGCATTGTTATCAACATTAATTTTAGCCCAATCTAGGCTGAAATATCAGCAAGTATTAATGAACAATTCATGGGAGAAGGCTTTTCAACAAAACAATTCAACCTCCTGAGAGATTGGTAAATGAAATCAGTGGTGTCATTGTTCACTAACCAGCCCAGCCGTGGGGATTTGCTCAATATATGAAGATCTCTAGGCATTTTACTCAAAGAAAATAGGATCAAGGTTATAATAAACAAATTTTTCTAGTGACACTTTCCCAATTATGGCATATCCTCTTTCTCTCTGGTTGTCCTGGTAACTTTAATTAAAACTGCTCCAATCTATTATGAAGCTTTAAATACTGAAATATGACCCAATTCTTAATTCAACGTTGATATTCAGTTTATGATTAGATAATGGAAAGGGGAAAATGACAAATATTTTTGACTATTAAAGTAGACTTTTTTTCTTCCTATAGGGACTATATTATGGTTATAGGCCAGTAGTTCT